GTCTGCAATAGTTTAAGTTCTCGTTTTATCCCACGAAAGTTATAATTTATCTTTCTTATTCTTCTTACAAATCACACATTTCCCAATAATTGTAAATTCAAAATTTTTTCTTATTTTTTAACCTTTTATTCGAAAAAAAAATATTTCAAAAAATTATAATCATAAATAACGGGGGCTAATTCTATTTGCAATTCACATGACACAATAAAATAAAATAAAATTGTCACGATTCCCTTGTTTGTCAACTCATTAATAACAAACTTATACAATAAAATATTTTACTTGTAAATTCAAGATTTTTTTTCTATTTTTTGAATCACACATTCTAAAAAATAATTATTTAACACATTATTTTTTTTCTCAATAATAACAATCAAACAAGGGCTTCATAATCTTCGAAGATTACCGAAGAATAAATTTATTTATATGTAAAATTGAATTTGAGAAAATATAATTTTTAAATAAAATGTGTCCAAACATTCGGTTCACCATCTATAACTCGGCTTGTATGAAGAGCGACTCGAATTATTATAAAAAATAAAATTTTAGTAGATCTTGAAAAATAAAATAAAATATATGATTAAAAAGTAGTGAATTTTTGGTTAAATATGAATTTTAAAAAAATTAAAAATTAAAAACAAGGACCAAACATGGACTAAATTTACATGTCAAAGTTTAACTTAGAGCATCTTTGATTCATTTTATTTTCCATAAAAAATGTTATTTTTTCACATAAATTTCTATTTTTGGGGTTTTTCAAGTTTTGGTTATGTGACCATATTTGACTAAAAAAAAAAAAAATTTATTTTATGGAGGGGTGATTTTTATTTTCCATTCTCCCTCATCTACCCAACTATAAAAATGGAGAAGTATAATATGTTCTAAATTGGAAACTAAATCAATCAAATACATTTAATGAATAATTTTCATAAAAATAAGTTCTAGACAATTGAATTATCTAAAATTTATTTTCTTTTCATATAAATTCCATATTCGCAATCGAACGTACACTTATGGTAACGTAGGGTGGGGTAGTATTAAACCCTCACTTAAGCTCAATTTTTTTAAAAATACATTTTTTTCTTCCTTATGTCCAATAATACATTTTTCAATAAAAGAATATATGTAAATTTAAAATTTTATCTTATTTTTTAATTATTTATATTTTTAAAAATCAATATTTTTTTCAAAATTTAATTTTGATGGGGTTCGGGCTAAAGCTAAAGTCGACGATAATCTTAAATAAATAAATATGGGGCTTTAAGGAAAGAAAAGGTATTAAAAGTGAGAAATAGGCATAGAAAGTGGGGTCCACGAGAAAAGGATTAAGAACAAAAATGTTTTTTGAAGACTAGTTTTTGCTCGTGCAATGCACGGCTTGGGTGATTTTGGAGGTAGTGTTA